GAGTGTTGAGCGAAATAAGAATGTAAGAATCATAGCAATTGGGGTTCCATAGTCTCTGCCTACCCCCATGGGGGACAGGCGTGGGGTAGGCGACATACATGATGTATGTTTCTTGTATAGGTAAGGTTTCAATCCTGATACCACGGGTTGAATCAGGCAAAGTAGTTATACGTTTCTCTTAATTTTAAATTGTGTGTATGTTATTAGATTATGAAATTACATCATTTTTTTGGAATTATACATATCACAAAATACATACTAATTAAATACAATGAAGACATATTACAATACGCATTATTATATAATTTTATGTACTGTTGGAATGTATCTCACAAAAGTTTCGAGATTTTTTCACTGAATTTTATTCACATAAAATTCTTACCTACCTCTTTGCACAGAAACCTTAGCAAACTGAATATTCCATTTATTTCACGACCCATGTGTTAATTCTAGGTATTAAGCTTCATTCTTATTACCATAGAGAACACTAAGCTAGACTTTGTGCAAGCACTATGAAATTCTAAGCTGAAAATCTCTGCACTCGCTAAATGCCACGAAATGACCAGAAATGCTCCGTGCTCATACAGTTCCTATTAAACCATAAAAGACTATGAAACTGTGTAGTGAAATATTTAAAAACTATTCAATTCCATGTTATGTGTATTTATATAATGAATTAATGGTTTGTTAAGACAAAGACATACTTTATCTTATACTAATCAATGCCGCGCTGTTTTACGCGCTGCTCGCTTCAGCTTGATCTACTGGTCATATTTTAGCCTATGTGTTGCGGGGGTGACCATGGGTGGCGCTGATCGCTTGCCATCAGGTGATCTGGCTGCTCGTTTGCCTCCTATTCCATAAAAAAATATCCTCCTTTGATAAATGCACTCTTAAACACAAAATAATTATTTAAACTGTCAAACACCAAGCGGTCACCGGTGACCGCGACCTATTGTTCTTTAATTGTGTCTATAAAACCGGTACTCGACGAGTTAAATCGGGCTAGGAAATCCAGAGATTAGCGCGTTCAACCGAACAAACTCTTCAATTTTATATAATAGTAGAAGATGTAGAATAGAACATCTTAACAATTTTTGAAACAGTATTTAGTTTAAACAAACCTCAAAGTACATATATTTACAGAGTCGGTATTATGCAATAGAGATCACACAAAACATGAAGCGTTCGAATCGCTTACCACCAGGCAAGATAGTGGTCAAACGCCGGCCGGCAATATAAAAAAAAGAGTGGAAAATAAAAAAACATCGGAAACAATCAACAAAACAAGATTTCTTTTAATTCCAATTCTCAGAAAATTCTGCTCATACCTCGTCTATTGGCACCATATCCACGCGAGCCCAACGTTTTCTATTTTTGAATGACCCAATCAGAACACAAATAAAACGCTGTGAGACGGAACCTCTACCCGAACGACCAGACTCAATGTTTTTTCTAATTTCATCACCCAAATGAACGTTTCGTGTTTCGTAAATGGAAAAATAATTACGTTTTTGTACTTTCCCCCCGGTACTGAGTTTTATTGGAGCTATAGAATTACATTTTACGAAAACGTGTTGGTTTTAAAGTGTTACTCGTACTACAAAAATGTTCTTGTATTTTTATGATGGTCAGGTTGGAATAACGGCCCATGATAACACCGCGGGGTTGGTAACAAAGCTTTCAATTTTAATTTAATATTTTTGCAAAATGGTCCGGTCCTTTAGGTGTCAGAAACAGCGGTTCGCGTATAAAAGCACTGGATTTTTATGTGAGAAATCGTGATCGGAAAGTAATTTCATTTTTGTTCGATGAATACCTAGTTGAATTTTTACTATGAAAATATTGGGATTACATTATTCAACTCTCTGCCTGCCTGGACAGCCTCGTTAGCCGATTCTAAATAGTAGCACGGAGTTTGGAATTGTGCCCGGTATTGGGCAATAGGCTCACTAGGTTTTACAAATAGGTTTGCTACTGGGTTTTAAAAAAATCTCAGTGTTACGTAATAAGGGTTACATGGGACTCATAACATACATAGTGAAAAGTGAGATATTGTCCAGTGGCATTAAGTGTCGTAACGTGCAACTTTAAAAGGCGTGATGGTATTGATTATTTAACTATTACATTGATAACTTTTTTACTGCAACAATATGAAATGTTCATGGACTCAGCTAATCACAAAGAAAAGTCAACGTCATTAGAGTCTACATACGTACGTTATTTTAGAAACACAAAGGAGAAACACAAGTGTCCTGTGATGGTAAAATTGCTCTAAAATCTACATACTAACAAAGCTCACTATAGCTCGTACACAGAGCAATTTTCCCCGAACGAATCTACGTTTTCGAATGAGCACCTACCTATGAGAGACTAACTAGCATATTCAGATTTATATTTCGTAATTTTGAACTTCAACACAGCAACCTTTGAGTCCGAATTTGTGTAACATATCTTTCCTTTTTATCTTCACAAATTCATAAGCAAAATTTTGCTAACTCAACAAAATTCCTATCTGTCCTTTTCACGAAGATTCTTATTGTGACATAAATAAGGTCCCGTATTTAATCGGGCTCCAAAATTTAATACAAGACGCGGGAGATTTAAAGTTTGGTCTTCCATTCAAGGAATAAAAGCTGTCGATCCGAGCTACAGAAATTTAATTTTGCGAGATACTTTGGTCTTGCTCCTGAATATATTTTCATCTGCTTGGACAAATATAACTTTGGACATCCTAATTTTGTTGGAACGCTAAAGTGGTACTCTACTGAATATCGAGGTGGAAAGGTGGAATTTAAGTCAGTCAGGCCTTTTGTCAGTCACTGGTATTAATAACATAACATAACATCACGCCTTTTATCGCCGAAAGGGTAGGGAGAGGTGCACATTATACCACTGTACAATGTAACACCCACTTTTCACTATTTATGTTGAATCCCATGTAATAGGGGGGTGAGCCTATTGCCATATACCGTTCACAATTCCAGACTCCGTGCTACTACTGAGAATATTTAAAAAACCCAGTAATACTTTGCCCGACCCGGGAATCGAACCCGAGACCCCTTGCCCGGCAGTCGCACTTACGACCACTCGGCCAACGAGGCAGTCACTGTATTAATAACATAGTATAATAAATATGTAGCTATGTTGAGTTAGCTGGCTGTAATTTTAGTCCGACTTTATTTTTTTTTGACCTCCAGGGAAATTGAGGGCGGGACTAACCTCCATTTTAATTTCGACACGAAGATATTAAATTTGAACGGATAGGCTAACGAAAGATCTCTGTGTTGAGTTTGTTTTTGTTTATTATTTAGAGTGTACTAGCTATTCACGCGCCATCGCTCGTGATTTTTATGGGTTCGGAATAGATTTCCAAAAAAGGGTGCAATATTTTTTGTTATTCTGAAATAAGTCTGCATACCAATTTTCAGTTTTTTAGAAAATTGCGGAATGCTCCATACTATTACCTCCCATTTCAGAGAAGTGGGGAGTTAGAAAGAGACAAAAAGTAGCCTATGTATGTATATTTGACTGCACGGTTGGTGCGGTGGCTGGGCAACCGGCTGCCGTGCAACTTGTCGCGGGTTCGATTCCCGCACGGAACAACACTTTGTGTGATCCACTAATTGTTGTTCCGGGTCTGGGTGTGATGTGTATGTGAACCTGTATGTTTGTAAACGCACCCACGACACAGGAGAAAATCCTAGTGTGGGGCAACGTTTAAAAAAAAATATGTCACCGTTCATCCTTTCAACATTTTTCACTTAAAAATTACGTCGATTCGTCGCTCCGTTTTTGCTTTAAAAGATATACAAAAAAGAAGACACACATACACACAAACTTACACATTTATAATTTAGTATGGATGTATTTCATTGTGTGTGAAATATTGTTTTCTTTAAATGCTAAATTTGTTTACTAGTTTTTGGAAAAATAATTTCATAATACACGTCTATGTAGACGTCCTTGAATTGTACAGACCGCTGAAAATAGATTTCACATATCTCTTTCGATAGTCGTTTTAAATAAAAGAAACTGTATTATTTGTCGCTGATGTACTCGTATATCGAAAATAGCGAATGAAGATTTCGATATAAAAATAAAACTTCTTTTTGAAATTTTATATCAACTCCTAACGGTTGGCGCAGTGGCTGGGCAATCAGCTGCCGCGCAACCTGTAGCGAGTTCCATTCCAGCACGGAGTAACTTTTTGTGTGATCCACAAATAGTTGTTCCGGGTATGTGAACTTTTATGTTTGTAAACGCACACACGACACAGGAGAAAATGTTAGTGTGAGGCAACGTAAAAAAAATTTTTTGTTTGTCCTAGTGGTCGCAATCGCGTCTGCCGAACAAGGAGAATCGGATTCGATTCCCGGATCAGACAATTAATACAGGGTTTTAAAAAAATTCTCAGTAGTAGCACTGAATCTGGAAATGTGCTGGTATATGGCAATAGACTCACCTATTACACATTACATTGGTCTTGATAGGTTTTGATATATCAACATCATAATAAACAGTCCACTATTGATCTATGAGCCTCTTCTATCTAAGCGGGGTTTGCCGTGATCTCCAAACTTGGCAATTAGATTGGAGATTAGAGCTTAGTAACAATGTTTATTTTTATTAGAAACTAGCTTCTGTCCGCGACTTCGTACGCGTAATACCATTTATTCCCGCCCCCGTTCGTGATTTTCGGTAAAAAGTAAAAAAAGTATTGGTTTAAAAGTATCCTATGTCGGTCTCCTGGCTCTAAGCTACCTTCCTACCTATTTTCAGCCAAATCTAATCTGCCGTTCTTGAGTTATAAGTGGTGTAACTAAAACGACTTTCTTTTATATATATAGATTAAGTACTGTTCATTCTTTGTCAAAAAGTATAACCGGGTATAAGACACCCACGGTAAGAAACGGGGTGGTATAATGTATTCTTCTTTACTATTACCTACCTCACTACTTAAAAGCCACTACAACTCCAATGGCTATCTGTTGTTCCAGGCTACAAGATGTCGCTAGCAGTATGCAGGGACCGCCTCACAGGGTCTGATGCTCCAGAACAGCTGTGTGATGCCTCCAGCAAGCCCCAGGCGTCAGTCGTCAGGTGTAACACACACCCATGCCCGTTCAAGTAAGTAAAGTTTTTACCCGACTTCAAAAAATGAAGGAGGTTCCGAGTTCGACCTGCGTGTTTTTTTTTAATGGGGGAAAATCATCGAATTACTGCTCCCGCCTGGGTGAGGCGGGAGGGAGTGTCAGACTCTTACTGACTAAAAACCACCCCGTTCCTTCTCCTGCACGTCGAGCCGGAGCCCCGGTTACCCGTTAGGTTCTCCGCGACTCCGAATCGGCATCGGCCCTATTGGGCCCCATCTGTGGTGGTCTGATGGCTCTTTGAGGCGCGCGCGGAACGCGACGCGCCGTACGCTCGGGTCTGTTTCTGGTCGGACGGGGAGCCACCCATGCTCGCCGTCCGCAGGCCCGCGCTTACGGTGGCCGGAGATCGTCCCGCGATCCCCGACGCCCGGTGTGTCCCTGACCCTGACATTTGACCTGATAAATGTATTCGTCTTGGCTATTTTCTTGAAATATACGGCTCCTTAGCGGTTGTAAGGAAAATCTATGAGCTGCACTATTCGGATTCAATACCTACGCTATGTATTTATCTTAATATATATAAATCTCGTGTCACAATGTTTGTCCTCAATGGACTCCTAAACCACTTAACCGATTATAACGAAATTCGCACACCATGTGTAGTTCGATCCAACTTGATAGATAGGATAGTTTAAATCTCAAATTGTAGTCGCAATTTTAATTTATTGCTAATTATTTGTCTGTTATTATTTGACAGTCACAATTATCTGTTAACTCCAAATGATTCTAACAGAAGTCGATAGCTTTCGACTGGGTTGAGTAAGTAATCAATAGATGGCTCTGCTATGGGTTTTTTTTAATAGGAGTGATTCTTAAGGAAGGTTTATATGTATAATGCATGCATATTGCACCCGTGCAAAGCCGGGGCGGGTCGCTAGTAGGTTTTTTACCGACTCTAAAAAACGGATTTACTCAGTTTGACCTGTGTTGTATGGTCCTACAGATGGTACGTGGGCGAGTGGTCGTCGTGCAGCGTGACGTGCGGCGGCGGCGTGCGCTCACGGCGCGTGCTCTGCGCGCGGTCCGCCAACGTCACCAAGACTGACACTTATGAACCTGGTCAGTATAGACATGGTATTAATAGATACTGTGAACATAATAGGGCCAGTAAAGGCCAAAGACGGCTTTCAATTAACTCTTGTAAATTAATTTTCTCCTTAGGTACAAATTCGGAGCCAGGTTGCGTGTCCCCAGCGCCGCGCGCCACACAGCCGTGCAACCAACACGCCTGTCCTATCTGGGTGGCGGGGCCCTGGTCTGGGGTAAGTTGTAGATTAAAATATAGTGATATTTAGATAAATAATAAAATTTTTGACATTTTGAGCCCCGATGTGCCTCGAAACTTATCGAGTATCCCAATATAGTTCAAAGTTAGTATAATATCTCATGATAGTTATTTGCTTTGTCTGGGTAATTATCTGGACTGAAAAAATAACTAATCGACCGAAGTACGGTCAATTCGTTATTTTTTTTACAAGCATTTTGGTAATTGAGGATTATGGGGATTTGGGGATTGGAGAGACTGGAGAAGGGTGGGTAATTAGCCTTGCTGTGCACTGCAGCACGTGGCCACTATGCCACCGTCTTCCCTGAGACCACAGGGTGGGCACCTAGAGTCTCCACTCTACGGACCCGTGGCCCCAAAGGTCCGCCATCATGTGTATACATAACATCATAACATCACGCCTTTTATCCTCGAAGGGGTAGGCAGAGGTGCACATTATACCACTGTACAATATAACACCCACTTTTCACTATTTATGTTATGAATCCCATGTAATAGGGGGTGAGCCTATTGTCATATACTGGGCACAGTTCCAGACTCCGTGCTACTACTGAGCATTAAAAAAAAACCCAGTAATACTTTGCCCGACCCGGGAATCGAACCCGAGACCCCTTACCCGGAAGTCCCAATTGCGACCACTCGGCGAACGAGGCAGTCGAGTATCATAGTAAATGTGTATACGTAGGTATAAACTCAATTTACAATTTCTAAACAAAAACTTCCAACTAACAAATAAAAAGCATTCACATCTCATATCCATACATTATCCAAAGTACACATACAACTTATAAATCCGATACAAAGTGTACAGTAAGCGGCTCATGTTGTCGATAAACTATTCTACTCTCAGAATGTCTAGTGCGAAACTTTATTGCTTTTCTGTACTTACGTAGAGTGCAGGCGATGCAATTTCTTGGAGACGTGTTACGTAACATTGTTGGGGACTGCTATATTTATTTTAATCGATGTACATTGTATGTGAAACTAGTGATCTACCCCGGCTTCGCAATGTTATTAGTATTTCTCAACTGCTTTTTGTGTCGTGGTGGCTCGGAGGTTTAAACTGTCAAACACCGCGAGGACACCGGTGACCGCAACCTATTGTTCTTTAATTGTGTCTATAATGACGGTACTCAAAGGGTTAAGACGCCTGATTCTCATGCATGAGGTTGCAAGTTCGAAACTCACCAACGGCAAGTACCAATGTGACTTTTACCGAGTTATACATATGTACTTTCTAAGATTATTTAGACACCACTGACAAACGGTGAAGGAAAATATCGTGAGGAAACCTGGGCTTATAATTTCTAATTATAAGTTTGAAATCGCCAACCCGCATTAAGCAAGCGTGGTGATTAATGCTCAAACCTTCTCCATGTGGGAAGAGGCTTTGCTCAGCAGTGGGTATTTATAGGTTGTTGAATTATCAAGTAATGATGATAATTCATCATTGAACCATCAGGTAATGATGATAATTCATCATTCAAATTCCTAATCCCTAAAGCTAGGAACGCACTTGTAACACCTCTAGTGTTCCGGGTATCCATGGGCGATGCCGATTGCTTACCATCAGGTGATCCGTCTGCTCGTTTACCGGCTTATTCCAAACAAAAAATAAGAAAAAGTATCACTGACAAAAAGTTAGTTCACTGCAAGATCACCTCTGTTCACCTTTTTGGAGATTATCAGGTATATCTAACATATTCTTAGGTCACTTTGAAAGTCCTAGGACGGTCTGAAACGACCCTGGATGCCCTTGATGTTGTGGCTTTTCGCCGAGAACTACAAATTATATTATTTAGATCGATACAGCTGATAGGGTTAGCTTGATTGTACTAAGCGAATAACTGATACTTTAATTTGAATATACTATTAAGTTTCGTATTTGTTGACAAATTTCTTTTGATCGCCAAGTTTGGACCTAATTTCTGCGACGCTTTATTCATGGGTACCAACAAATCAAATAACTTTAATGCGTCTATAGTGTATACCGGGTGGTTTATAATTTTTTGACAAAACATGTTCAAACTATAAGTATATAGGGTTCAAACATCATCCATTTTATTCTCAAGAGATTTCTACGTGACAAAGCTTGAGCAACACCTCTAATGTTCCATAGGTAGCAAAGAGATTTCTGTTTATCAGGACAATTGTACGCTTGTATATCGCTTCACCGATAAAATAATGAAATCAGTAATTTATAACCTAACTAGCGACCCGCCCCGGCTACGAGTGCAGTATGCATATATTATACATATACACTTTCCTTAAGAATCACTCTATCTATTAAAAAAAACCGCATCTAAATCCGTTGCGTACTTTTAAAGATCTAAGCATACATAGGGACAGACAGACGGCGGATAACGACTTTGTTTTATACGTATAGTGATGATATTGTTTAATAACTTCTAGCCCCATATACATTTACTTTTTTGTTGACGTTCAAAAGTGCCTGTTGACATTCAAAAATGCCTTTCTGGGTGCTTACTCTTGAAACCAATATCAATGTCAATGCAATTTCAATCTAATAAAATCTCAATAATTATCCAATGTCAAAACTATACAACCACAATCGTAGCTGTTAAAATAGCATTCAGAGTACGGAATATAAAGCCAAACTCAATACCGTTTAGTTCATTCAATATCCGCGCAATACGGGTGCAATGGACGCTAGTGTTGTATCTCAAGAGTACGAAATTTTACAATGTCAATGTCGATCTATCGAAATTGGATTCAGGAGTAAGCCCCCTGGTCTAATTGAAATAAATGATTTTGACTTTGACTTCAATTGTAAATTTCGCCAGACAGAGTTACAGACACTTTAAAAAACATACGTATTTCTTTATAAAAACTACATTATCAAAAACTAACGAGCTAAAAGGAGGTCCCATTAGAAAATGCTAAAACCCGACCGAATAAAAAGTCATCTTACCTCCAATTAGAGAAAGTTCCAGTCTGTCTTTTTAATTTGTCCGCATTGACGTAGTCTCGGAAACTTAGGTAAACTTAAAGCTTGTTAGGCAAGTTTAGACGTGGAGTATTCCGGCCATGTTAGTTCGTGATTACAATTTTGTCTACCTCATTAATTCGTGTGGTTCTCTATATTGACTGCATAGTTTCCACTTGAAAATGTTTGGTTTCAACTTAGACTTTGGGTGTCGAATTCTTAATGGGATTGCCACAATACTTAGGTTTGAGCCTAGAATGGTTTCGTGTTTAAAATAATTCGGTCTTGAAGTTTGTTCGATGAATTTTATAGTGCATAGTAATATATTTGACTGCCTCGTTGGTCGAGGGGTCTCGGGTTCGATTCCCAGGTCGGACAACTTAGTTTTAAAAAAATCTCAGTAGTAGTACGGAGTCTGGAATTGTCCCCGGTATGGCAATAGGCTCACCCCCTATTACATGGGATTCATAACATAAATAGTAAAAAGTGGGTGTTACATTGTACAGTGGCATTAGATGCCGTAATGTGCACTTCTGCCTAATCCTACGGGGATAAAACGCGTGATTTTATGTTATGTAATAATAAATGTGTCAAGTATTTATGTATTTGGACACTATGAGGCGAAAAGTAATCCATAGCAACTAACACCATAACACCAAGAAAATAGCGTTCACAATTATTCCACAGTGCTCAGTGTCATGCGGCGAGGGAGTCCAAGTTCGAGGAGTGGAATGTACGCCCTCTGGCGGCGGGTGCGACCCAGCCACAAGACCTGAAATATCACGACCATGTTCCACGGGCATCAGCTGCCCAGCTTACAGGGAATCTGACGAACCCGAGGTATGTAATTTACCAAATATTTGAAACAATGACTAAGCAATTAATAGCTTTTGGTTTCGACATAGTAACTTAAACTTAGCTTAAGATTCGTTAGTCAACATCAAAGTAATTTTAAGTAACATCTTGAGATTACTCTGTACCTAATTTGGAGAACAAAACTGGATTAGCGTTTTTTATAACAATAGTCAAATATTTCTTAAAAACATAAGCATTCGTCAGAATAACCAAGAACGCGATGAACTGAATTTAATTCATCATCTTTGTAGTTCAATATCATCAACAGCCTATAAATGCCCACTGCTGAGCAAAACCTCTTCTCACACGGAGAAGGTTTGAACATTAATCACCGCCTTTCCTCAATGCGGGTTGGCGATTACAAACTTATAATTAAAAATTATAAGCATCTTTATAGATAAATCATAATAATTATGGTTGAAGAAGATGATCTTTATAAATTAGTAAGTCTTGAAGCCTATACCATACTTTTCTTAAACAAACTACAACTACTACATAATCTACAGGATGAAATCGAGGACCTGCTCCCAGGAGTAGTCTACCACACTCAGCCGTTGATACAGCCGTACCCAATGCCACAAGCAAAGGCCGAGCGCCTTATAGGAGACCCTGATGTACCGGTAGAAGCAACGTAAGTACTCATTCAAGTAGATTAGAACGGTGTGGAGGCAACTTAGTTTTTATATCTTTTATAAAGTCATTTATGTTACATTAATTATGTTTTTCGACTTACCATTATTATAACTTTACTGTTTACTTACTAGTCATTGAATGATCAGTCCTGAGTTCGTGGCTCCTGACCACAGAGTATTAGGTTTCAAATTAGGCAAGTTATTAAAAAGAGTCAATTGTTTATATAAAAAATGTATCAGACAGTTCTCATGCTGAACACAAAAAAAGAACTAAACTTGAATATCATACTCGCCACATGCGATCTCAAAAATACCGTATTACTTGTCTTAATCTGGGGAATGAACTTTAAATCTCGTACTTTAGAATTTCGAGGTAATTAATAAATGAATATTTCATCAAAAACCATATTAAAAACCTCACCCAAAGCCAGTCGTGCGTAACAAGCCATTTACAATGCTTAAGTAAGAAGAAAATATCTAATAACTTGTTCTCAGTCGATGTATGAGTTTCAAAAGAAAATCATGAAAGGATCAATTAAAAGTTTTTCTGCTTGAAGTATTGAAGTTGAAGAAGTACACACATTTATACATTATTAAAAGTGAAAAATATATAAGCTACACTTATCTTTTACTCGTGAAGCAAAGGATTAATAAATGTGGGTGACAACTTTAAGCAACGCCATCTATTAATCAGGAAGAAGAACTATACATTATTGAGTTAGGTTTCTTTTTTTAAAAAGGCCTTTAGCCACACGCCATTTTAGCACTTATCTACAGAGAGAGAAGAAAACTAAATGTGTGGGGATGACACTGACAACTGTCAAAATCTACGTCAATCCCATATAATTTGGTTTTCTATTCTACATGTAGACAAGCGTTAAATGGCATTTGGCTACAGCTGCATATTTAAAAAAGGACAAACTTAGATAAAATTACACACGTAGATAAAATTAATATGAAAGTCGAATTTATTTGACTAGCTATTGCCCGCGACTTCGTCCACGTTGAATATGATACCTGTTTTATCCCATGCGAGCAATTAATCCGGACAAAAAGTATCCTATATCACCCAAGTCAGCCCATACCCTGCCTGTATATCAAACTACATCAAAATCCGTCTAGTAGTTTCAGCGTATTTGACGGACAAACATCCAAACAGAGAAACTTTCATATTTATAATATTAGTGTGGTTTAACGTATACGCCTTTGATTTAAATTATCATTCAAACGACAAACGACTAATATATTCGTATTTTATTTGTTCCAAATTCATTTTAGATGTGACTAATTATATTACGAGTATTTTGAATGAGTCTACGATACTCTTTGTCTATTAGTTTCAATTCTAATATGATTAATTAATTAAAATAGTACTTAATTTTAATAGTAAATCCAATAGAATCGTACCTAAATTCTAAGCTATTTTTGAGTATTTTCGTCGAGTACAAAATCGATATTCTCACTCCCTAGTAGCCATATAATGGGTCTAAAAATATATCTGGATGTAAACGGGACTTCTTCAGGGAATTTGAGACACAATTTTAGGTAGGTATGTTCCTAGCCAGAGTTTTCTTAACTATACAAAAACATATGTCTAAATTCAGCAGATAATTTATTTTGGTGATCTAGTGATTTTTTTTTAAAATAAACTTTGCCCCACTCAAGGATTCTCTCCTGTGTCATGGGTGCGTTTACAAACATACAAGTTCACATACACATGACACCCAGACCCGAAACAACAATTTGTGGATCACACAAAGTATTGTTCCGTGCAGGAATCGGACCCGCGACACGTTGCTCGGCAGCCGGTTGCCCAGCCACCGCACCAACCGTGCAGTTTAATCAAAATAAACAAATTATATCATGACTTACCCGGTATGAGCAACAGCTACATGAGACTTCTATTATAGTTAGCAAGAGGTGGGTGCTACGTTGAGTCCGTTGTCTACAAAGAGTTTAATAACAATATAAAGCCTATAAATAAGATTCGACTGCACGGTTGGAGCTGTTGGCAACTGACTGCCGCGCAACGTGTCGCGGGTTCGATTTTTGCAAGGAACAACTCTTTGTGTGATCCACAGATCGTTGTTCCGGGTCTGAGTGTCATGTGTATGTAAACTTGTATGTTTGTAAACGCACCCAGGACACAGGAGAGAATCCTAGAGTGGGACAAAGTTTATTTTTTTTTAAATCTTGGGCTTGTGTTTAAGAAAAAAAAATTATAAGAATATTTATAAAAAAAATGGATATCAAAGTCAAAGTGTAAACACAAAAAATGGTGACATTTTTTTAGTTTTCAAAATCCTAATCTTAGTATAATTATTTCAGTTTCAACAATTTTAAATGGGCTTTATGAAGGCTTTGTTAAGGGATCTCACCAACTTTATCTTCATTACAATTTAAGTTCTCAACAATACTTAGATTAGAATAAGCATTGGTAGCCCTCACATTTTTATTCAATCCTATAATATAATCTACGTAATCTTGTCAACCATAATTTTCTTCATCAACATCAACCTTAACTTCAACTGCCTCCACACTGCTAGTATTTAGTTTTTCCTCAAATCCGTCCATACTAATATCAACGTCAAAAACAGCATGTGCCATTGAAATTTCAATTTCATTTTCGATAACAATAAGATTCAAATCTCTGATACCATTGTCTGTATCCAAAGCTCAGAGTATTTTGTTGTTGTTTTTTCAGCAATTACAAAATATTCTTTGCGTGTGGCTGGTTATATGTAAGGTATTGTAACTATAATAACAAACGTTTTTAAAGGTTTCACTTCAAACATTACACATTTTTTACAAGGAATGACATTACCCGTCCTCTCTATGACCCTTCTTGCTCGTAGACTGTTTGTGGCTTGTGTGTTACCAACGTCTTTAATTTTAGCTATAAAGGGTGAGATTATTAATCGACTATCAATATTAGCTATTATTTTAGTGGTTGTATATAAAATTAGTATTTGTTTTACTTGTAAATCCAGAGCAGAATCAGGGCTGAATGTTGAGAAGACAATTGAAATTGGTCTAAATGTTATCGATAAAATTATTTCGTTTCGATGGAGTTAGAAGACTGGTCTTCTAAAAATAAGTATTGGAATAATCACACCCTTAAAAAATTACAGACGTATTCTTCAATTTATGTTTCCTAGTGTTCGTTTTAGAACCTAACCTAAGTGTTTGTGGAAACCTAACCCTTCCCGGGATGTCTAGATATTGTAGTGACGATGAATATATTATGGGGATGTTACGGCTTAATTAGCACAAATTATAAACAAAAATAAATCACCATTTATGTACAGTGCACAATTTAAAAACGGTCACACTAATTTAGGTATTTCTTTTTTGTTTATATTGACAAAGTTTGCGTTATAGAGAAACTAAAAAAAATGTACGCCAGATAATTTAGAAAATAACACACGCTTAACCAGTGTCAGGCTAGTAACTACTTATAACATAAGCACACAAAATGTATGTATGCACGTAACTTCAAAACTACAACACCGAATTGGATAGGAATTTCAGTACGTGGCCTATCTATGTGTTAGAATATTTTTTTATGGTATAAGTCGGTAAACGAGCAAACAGATCACCTGATGACAAGCAATCGGCGCTGCCCGTGGACATCTGAAACACCAGAGGCGTTACAAGTGTTTTACCGGCGTTTTGGGCTCGAAAATGGAGATTCGCTTCGCACTAATATCTGTTTCATTTAAAATTAATTTCATAACTCTGTAAAGATAGCTAGTTTGTAAAAGTATTTTTTATATTAGCTATATCTGGGACCAAGTCAAAATAAAAAAGTTGAGGGATAACCCTGGACTAAAACTATGAGTTAGGAATTTATTAATATAGATTTATTCTGTGCCACTTAAATTAAATCAAAATACCTATTTCACCTACTGTTGCACATTTCTGCAACACCCTATGGTTGACTGTTAGAGAATGCCACCCGACATTAAGTCCGCCATTGTATGTTATATATGTCGTAGGATAATTTGATACTTCGAATCTTCGCGGAAATCCTAGGGGTTTTGCGAAAACGCGGATAATTAGACATAGGCGAAAAATTATCAAATCTTACTGGACAAAGTCAGGATTTTTGCGAAAATACTCGTTACTATAGTAAGATTTGATGTGCTCAACACTGATTGGCTACAATTTTGCTGGCTGACTTCTAATTGGTTCCTAGTTTGCCGATGATTAACTTCAAGTATTATATCATAGAGTTATGAAGGTTAGAATAGGTGAAAAAGGAAAATCACTAAATTGATTTTTATAAATTTTTTATTGAAAATTTTAGTATGTATGTTGTTTTCTACAGACAATAGGAGATCTCAGTCGTAGTAAAAAAAATGATCCAATTTTAGGGTGTAATCCATAAATTGGATGAAACTGGTCGTTTAAAACGACGAAAAAATATTTAAGACATCAACCAATCAGAGACGATCTCTTATTGAACGCGCTGACCGACCAATCAGCGTTCTTATTTCATAACAGCCAGCGTTTCGTTTCGCAATCTTACTATAGTAATGAGTATTTTCGCAAAAATCCTGACTTTGTCCAGTAAGATTTGATAATTTTTCGCCTATGTCTAATTATCCGCGTTTTCGCAAAACCCCTAGGATTTCCGCGAAGATTCGAAGTATCAAATTATCCTACGACATATACAGAAGTGTAAATAAATAAAAATAAAACCAGGACTTGCTAATAGTATAAAAACATTTTTAAATAGGGATGACGACAGGGTATAAAAATTAAAAATCTAATTAGTCCGTCAGTCAGGTAATGAAAAAATATTCGACACGTATTTTTTATTTTGATATATAATAAAATTATGTATACTTAGATATAACGAATCAAAGATTAGGAGTGGGGGGCTAAAACGTCGTTTCTACCTATAAAATGTACATAGAAGTGACGTCACGTGACATTTTAAATCAATATATCGTCGAAAGTATTCGTTTCTGTAAGAAAATAAAAAATTCGTGTCTAATGATTTAAAATAATCTACCAGACGGACATGAAAATAAAAATTAGCCATCTACCCTATTACCATGATTAAAGTACCAAAAGTCACTCCATCACAGTGAAGATACAGGGATTTAGCTAATGAACCCAAAGCTTTTGAAAACGTTCACTTCAATAGTCTTTTTGTTAATGTTTCTGGGCAACGTACTTCAATTAACGATGTTCTTGTGTTCATACAAACCTTAGCAGGACCAGTTCCAATCAATAGACTTTGGACTTTAATACAAAGATGTACAGTTGAAAATGGTTTTAAAATTTTCATGGTGTCTTTTTAAGAATAATAGAATCCGAAACACGAGTTCTTGGTTTCAGTTTTGGTGAGACAGCAATGATTTACTTTTTATTTTGTGAACATTCTTAAGTGACCTACTTAAATAATATAAAACAATGTTTGTATTTACTGTATCAAGTATACAATTAATTTGTTACGTTACAATTGTACATTTTATTCACAAGTGTACAATGTTGTATGCAAATTTTGGAGTCGTTTCTCAAATTTCAGAAGCATTGGTTTAATAAAGCGACTTGTTAAAGTACCTATGTTGGTAATTGAAATTTATTTCTTGCAAGAACTTTGCGTTGTTATTAAGATTTCTTTCTTACAATCAAATTGTTGTCAAATTGGAAATTTGATAAATATGATCCTTTCCACATTAGATATAGGTTTAACTTGTGTACACAGCTTGTATGATTACGCTTTTATATTGTGTGAAAACAGCACTAAAAATGTAAAAAACAGTAGGTAACAGGACAATTGATGCAGGGGATATTTCAGTTGCAATCGAAGCACTAAGGCTAAAGAGCACAATCAGATCCCAATTAATATTGTATAAATATTATTTTTAAAATAAAAATTAAATAATTTGCAAACACAACACGCACGCACAAGTATAAATAATACAGCCGACGAAATAAATCTAGAAATAGACCACAAACAGAACGTAACAGATGTACATAGCACTGCTTTGGAGCACGTAGACACAAGGCCGAGATCCCAAGCCGATAGCAGATATGAACAGATCTTATTATAAAAACGAATCACATAAAATCCGTAACATCCCTTCTGTAAATATTAAAACGGACGACACTACACAGAGGAAACCTCCCTTCAAACCCACTCAACTATTGATGAGCGAATTTGTATGCACAGCATATTATTTCAATTCACACTGACCCAACCATCGCACACATCATCTCAACTTTACTCTGCTCTGATTTCTATTTTTCTACTCTATGCACTGCACATAAGATTTATATTTCCTTGCACATAATATAACACGAACCGTTTGTCTTGCAACGTTTCCTCGCTTACACTTTTACCGATTGGCACAAACATTTACCTAACTAACACAAAATTGATACACACGAATTGATTTTTTCGAAAGTATACTTTTAATGTGTTCGAATTTACAGGTATTGGGTGATTTATACATTTAACACTGGTGCATACTTCTACATATACCAGCCCGAAATTAATTAGGATATATAGTTGCCCTTAGCACCTCGCATGTCGACCTATAATGCTCCCGTGTGAATCTACAATAGATAGTCATAGAATTTTTCCTTTTAAAATCCGGGCGACTTTAGTAGGGTTGGGCTTGGCACACAGCAAATTAGGATTTTGTGAGAATTTTAATAAAATCGTTCTCTAGTCTACAAAGACGGTAGAATCTAATTTAATTAACTTCAAAATATTAATTTGGAACATCATTTGCGAGGAAAATGAAATACAAAATTAAACGCATGAGAAACAAAATTGAAATGAAAAAGTTTACAGGCCTAAATTGCTGTGTTAATCCCGTAATATTAGGAAGCGTATTCGTGTACTAACAAATTGTTTTATGTGTAGTTACATCAAAGACGATGACTGGGGTCCATGCAGTGTGACCTGTGGCGAAGGATGGAGGAAGAAGGAGGTCCATTGCAAGATATTCCTGGAGTTTAGTAGAACTATAGCCAAGTTGCCTGATAGCAAGTGCTTGGGACCTAAACCTGCTGAAGATACGGAGAGATGCGTTATGGAACCATGCTCCATGGCTTATGGAACCTCGTTTGGAGATTCCAGCGTGCCGTCTTATGGCGGCACTGGGGGCGATAGGTAAGATTCATAACATTATACATAAATTATAGTTTTTTTAACCAGTAATTTTATTTAGATGACTTGAGGATCTTATTACCTCAATCGATCCTTTGCCCATAAAGGCAACCATATACTTATATCTCTGTAGCCTTTATAAATAATTGAATACAGCTTTCTAATTATTCTCAGGTCACTTAGACAGATACTCATTAAGTCATTATATCAAAAAATCTAATATTTTCTATTTATCTTAATAAAAATGTTGGCTACATTAAGCGTCTGTCAGTAAAAAATAGTTAAAAATGCTATGCTACTAGTAATGTGCTCATGAAATCGAATCTACAAAAACACAAATAAAAAGTAAAATATCAAATTTTTATTTTCTCCATAAGCTTATCCAGTACACCATTATCAACTGCCTCCTTGACAACATCATTCACCCTGATCTTATGCAATTCATTATCTTCAGGAACATCTGTAGGCTCTATACTCAAATCCAACCTCGATCCTTTGAATATCGATTCATCTTCAGCAGCCATTGTGACAATTCGAAGTTCAACCATAGCAATCAACAGTCCATAGGGTCGAAATTCTTCAATATCTGCATTAAAATCTTCCCTTTTATAAACATCATCAGCCTTAATGTCGAATTTGTTTAAGAACACTTTTAGATTGTCATAGTAAATTGTCGTTAGGAGATCAAAATGTTCAGATCTGAATTGGGAGTCGGTGCATATGAAGAGAAAGTACATGATATCGGTGACTGGGTTGGCGTATCTCATCGCTTGGAAGTCTATGAAGCATACTTTTCCAGCCTGTGAACAAAAACAAATTATATTTATAACAATCAATAATAAATCATAGTCTTTTTGTGATGAATTGGTTTCAAGCATGAATACTGAGCCAGTCAGGCCCGATTCTCGAGTTAATTATAGTATCATTGGGATCTATGCTCAAAACAGTATTACAAAGAGTCTAACTGGTAACCGGGGCTCCAGCTCGACGTGCAGGAGAAGGATCGGGGTGGTTTTTAGTCAGTAAGAGTCTGACACTCCCTCCCGCCTTACCCAGGCGGGAGCAGTCATCGATGATTTTCCTCCGTTAAAAAAAACTGTTCTAGATATACATAATTATGGTGACAAACTCGACCTTATTATATGGAACTTATAATACAAATATTGACACAAATATATTGTCACATCAGTAAAAGATTCTGTTAAATACACATAATAATTATATGCTTGCTACTTCAGTATAGTTAATAAAATTTAGTTTTTACAATAACTATCATCAATTGAATACTGAACATTTCATTAACAAGGCTATTGTACAAATTGATAAATCAAGGGCGAGGCCTATCAATAGACAAGTGGATTGATTAGACTGCAAATTGATAACAAATTGACAATTGACAGTTGGAGACAAATCATCTTATATTGGTGACTTAATTGATATTGATACTAGACGGGTGACGCGGTTATATCCTCACCAAAGTGCTGGTATATTATTAACATTGAAACAGATCATTGAGTTTGAAATTATTAACTACTAGCTTTTACCCGCGGCTTCGCTCGCGTCACAAAAGAATAAAAAGTAGCCTATGCTATGTGACATATACCAATACACACAGCACCATCTATTCCAATACTTTTGTTTTTCCTCGGGAATATCAATTTTTTCCGGGTTAAAAAGTACCCTATTATTTAATTCGGACTTCTAACTTTACGTCTGCAAAAATTCAAAGCAATCGGTTGAGTAGTTACGGCGTGAAAGTGGAACAAACAAACAAACAAACTCACTTTCCGATTTATAATATTAGTAATGATACTCAATTCAAAATATTTGAGTTGAGATCGAATTTTGTTTGACATTAGTTCTATTACCTGTCATCCATGAACAAATAACACCTCTCGATCGATTTTGATCATGGTGACAGGTCTAACTAGACAAGCCTACTACGCAGGAGATATTATAGTATACAAGTGTGTGTGCAAACACAGGTGCACTCTCTGTTCCCTTACTCTCTGAACCCGATGGCAGATCGATATGACCGGAGGGAGAACAGGAGCGGGACTAATGACCTTACATGCTTTTTGATGCACTGAGGTGGAGACACCGCTAACATTCCTGAATCTAAGCTAATAATCATCATTATAGACTGCCTGTGGTTTAATGAGTTTAATAAGTAATTTTAGTACTGTGTTAGCATGTTTCTACTTTCTGTTACTAATCGTGAAAACCAGTAATTGGCTTCTTGTTGCATACCACATTCCATTTAATCAAATTGTATACCTGTTGGTTTTCCAAATGTATAAATAAATAAATAATTCTAATCAGAAAATGTCGTTGTCACTGTTTACTCGACGCGGGAGTCGAGCCCGCAACACGTTGTACAGAAACCGATCAACCAGTTACTGTGCCAACCATGTAGTCAACTTCGTTGACTTCCATCAAGCCTTCCATTCATATGGATTATGCTAGAGTAAATAATTGTAAAGATTGCTGCCACTACTGGACTGGATTACTTTGTGTACCTACATTAAATATTCTTATCAAATGTAATGTTAGTCATTCATCATCTCGGATGACTTGCTAATGCAAAATCGTTGTAATCCAATAATCCAATTAGATACTGAGATAGTGAAATTATAAAACCAATTCACTAATATGGGTACCAGTACAAACAATGAAATCCTTTTGAATATTTGCTATATTCACTCAGTATAATAAAAGTTTTGTTTAATTTTTTGCATTTTACAGACCATGATCTATGATGGCAACAATAACTGTATACGTTAATAATACAAATGATGAAACTCACCTCGTGCTTAAACAACATATTATTGACCCAACAGTCTCCATGGCAAAATACATTCGTTTTCGTCGGTTTTACATACATTTGTAGTAGCTGCAAAAGTTTGCTTTTCACAATCTCCAGTTTTTCCTTCGCATCTTCATCGGTCACAAGTTTCAAAGACATTTCGAATGACTCAAAGAAGTAATCCCTCAATTTCGTTTTATTCAGAAAATGGTTTTGATACAACAGATCGTGGAACTCAGTACTAATTTCCTTGAATACCATCGGCTCTTTACATTGAAACACAAACGATAAAGCGTGGAATTTCGCCAATTCTGCAAGTACTACACTGATTTCTTTGATACCAAGATTTTCATATTTCGCCAATTTCCCATCTACGTCGTATCCTTTTGTTGTTAAGTCCTCCAAAATGATTATTTCCCTGGAGTTTTCTGTGTTTGAATATAAACATTCTGAGAGTTCCAATCGTTCGTGTTCGTATAAAACATTTTGTATGTCTTTAAACTTGCTTATTACTTTGTGGTAGGCTACGACTTCTCTTTCATGTAACTTGTGGTATAGCACTTGTCTTTCTGTATTCACTAAAGTTTTTATAATAACACTGATGTTATTGTCGTCACTATCAGTTTCATTGATTTCCACACGAAACACATTTGCTATGTAGTTAGCTCTTTTACCACTTATACAATCTACATGGTATTCAAAATCTTGTATACCCTTGGCGAGTGCAACGGTTTGTAAGGAACTGTGAAGTTCGACACAGTTGAAGTCATCTGGTTCATCAAGATGAACGTCTAACGACATATCTACACTGTTGCTTGGTTCTGATACCACTGAATGTTCATTGTGTATTAATCATGCGATAAATACCGTATCTTCTGATAAACTGATATCTATCAACAAGTAAATAATTCTTGAGATTACGTTACGCGATACATTTCGTGTGTTTTTATAAATTTTACTGTGTATGTGTGCGTATCTTGTATGAGGAAAATTATTTGCTAAGCGCTACTGAATATTTTTCTTAATTAACATTGTAACTAATTACCTACGTACATAATGTACTGTTTTTCCCCAAAAAATGTCCTTAAGAATAACCTTTAAATATATCTTTGAATCAATTGAATAATTTGTTATGTATTCCAATTTCACTTGCATTAAATGCATCGTACATGATTGCCAAAATTAGTCAAAATATTGGCATACTATGTATTTTCAAAAACCGTCTCATTATACCGCATTTCGAAATTGAAACTAAGACTAATTCCTCAGCAGTGGCACTTACAATTGTGTCAACAACACAATCCAACTTCAATGTCAATAATGGACTAATGTTTGTCAACAGCAGGCTACTGACCTTCGGGACTTCAAGTAACATCAGGGTGGCACCAGGATCTCCAGGGAAGTCGTACTCTTGGAAAGAAAAGGGTTATACGAGCTGCAGCGCATCTTGTCTTAGTGGAGTACAGGTAATGACATCTAGCTATCATTACTAATCAATGATTGACTTTTAGATAAAGCCGAAGGTCAAAGTACAATTTTGCCAATAATAATTACGTATTCCTATTATAACTTACTATAAAGTTTTTACCACATAAGGTTTTGAAAAATAATTATTATCAAATAGCATGACAACGTCACTTTACGTTTATATACATATTGTCAACAATGTTATTTACATCGCATCAATAGCCAAAGAGTATAATAAGTATAGGGGTTAAGAGTTGCCACTCGTCAAAATGTATGCCAATCAATTTGAAACGCCATCTGAAAATTGCATCCCAGGATATTTTTTTTTTACTAACGTCTACAGATAATCCTAAGTATAGCTAATGTCAATACAACCATTAATAATTAATTATCACGCTTGCTCAATGCGGGTTAGCTATTTCAAACTTATGATTAGAAATTAAAAGTTTCCTCACGTTCACCGTTTGTCATTGATGTCTAAATAATCTTAAAAGTACTTATAACTCGGAAAAAGTAACATTGGTACGTGCTATTGGTAGGTTTTAAATCCGCACCCTCATGCTTAATAAGCTTCTTAGACCTCCGGGCCACCACGACATACATCAATTTTATTGATCTACTTTATTTGTCCCAGGAACTGATCATTCAATGTGTAAGAGATGAAGACGGTAAGAACGCGTCCCCGTACATGTGCGACCCACTGACAAAACCAGAGAACAGAGTAAGGACTTGTAACGACCACCCTTGTCCACCCAGGTACGTGTGATATAAACGTATTGTTAATGATGGTTTGGAATCCAATTGTAGATAAAAATGTTTAAATAGTTAATTTAAACATAGATACGATAGCGATGAGGATATAATATATATTTTTTTTTGTTGATGGCTGAATCCTAAGGTTACATATTTATTTAAGATGTAAATATTTTAGTTTTTAGATATTTGTATTTTAACCCCTCGAGCGTCCTTATGAGCACCCGGTGGATCATAAGAAAAAATGCTCCATGCTGCTTTCTCTTTTATAAAATCTATTATTAATTTTTTGTTTTTATTTTGACTATTTTTTATTTCTATTGTAATGATCCTTGTTTTCGTGTGCCAATGGCCAAATAAATGCATTTTTTTTTTCTTTCTTTCTCCAAATGTCACGTGTTCACCCGTTGGGTGCTCGACGGGTTAAATTGTATATATTTTCTCATACTTAAGTTATTTAGGTTTGCTTTTTGTTGAAATAAATATAAGTAAATAAAAATAAAAGTAGCTATTTTTGGATAAAGTAGTCAAAAAGGTATCAATTTTTTAGTTACTACGAATTTCAATAACCGATTTCAAGCGAAAATTACAGTATAGATCCTTATCTTTGACAGAAACTCTATAAAATTAATATCAAAAAGGTCTGTCTAAAGATTTTGGATTGAGAAAGCTTATACACTCCATATTTATATGTGATTTTTGACCAGTTACGGTATGAGTCAAGACGGAGTGATTTCATCCAGAACATGACCAACTATTCTAAACTCTATCCTGCCCCAAAGAACTTCTATAATTGGATATACTTAAATCCTTCACTCTTATTTCTACTTTACAACGTCTCAATAAAATTAACAATTATCCGATAATATATTTTTTATAAACATAACATAACATAACATCACGCCTTTTATCCTCGAAGGGGTAGACAGAGGTGCACATTATGCCGCTTTACAATGTAACACCCACTTTTCACTATGTATGTTATGTGTCCCATGTTATTTCTATTATATGTCAATACATATACCGGGCCCAATTCCAGACTCCGTGCTACTACTGAGATTTTTTGTTAAAACCGAGTAATGCTTTGCCTGACCCGGGAATTGAATCCGAGACCCTTTGCCCGGCAGTCGCACTAGCGACCACTCGGCCAATGAGGTAGTCATTTTTTATAAACTACATTAATGATACCTACTTAACTCTTCTTTAGATAATCGCTCACAAACACATATACCTACATATAGGTACCTTTTTTGAAGTCGTTTAATAAGTAATATCAACAACTCATTAAGATATTAAATCTTAACACACAATGCACCAAAATTACTCCCAGCATCAGATAACATAAAATATCGCACTACGACACACTAGTCGCTATACATAACCCGTCAACGCAGGGACGGTGGTACAAAGCGACACAAAGCAACGCAACCGGACTACAGTCAGCTTACTAATCCTCTATGTGCTTTGTCGTAGGTGGAACTATACTGAATTCTCACAATGCACGAAGTCGTGTGGCATCGGTATTCAGACGAGAGAGGTCACTTGTATACATGAGGTGAGGTCTGTTATGTTTGGTACTGTGTTTTAGAGGTGCGTTTTGATTGGTCAGATGAGACATCTGACAGCTTGTCTTGTATTATATGTAAAAGTAAGTTTACGAAATAAACTAGTCCTAGATGTTTGTAAAATAGCGGTTTGTTGAGGCTTACATTTTCTGGATGCAAGAAATATTTCTAAGTATATTTACAGATATTCACTCGAGGCTATTTATATCTCAGTGTTAATCATAACTTTTGACAACAGGCTAATAAAAAATCCGTTATTTGAGCGCGTTTATCTTCAGATTTTTTTGTATGTGATAATATTAGACCTAAGTAATTTGATTAGATTATATTATGCTCTATATGTTGCCGTACCTTAACCGGGTTCATGTTGAAACTATGCCCAATTATGTAACACTTATTGAACACATGATATAATGCAATAAAAATTTAAAATACCATACAACGTATTAAAGACAGTAAATAAGTTCTTATTAAGTTACAATTGAACAAAAAAACTAAATTAACTAAAAATCGCGGGTAACTCACTTGAAACAACGAGCAGCGTGCGCGTATGTGCGAGCGCCAACGCTGGCCACTGAGCTGCGCGACATCGCCGCGACCGCGCACGCTGCTCATGAGGAAGAACCCTCTCTATGGTTCGAAACTAGTAGAGCTTTTCTCAGTACATTCACCTGAGTAACCCGCGATTTTTAGTTAATATAGTATGTCTCACGATTTATTATAAAAAAAAACGAATGTATGTATCGTTTTTGACACTAGTATTTGTGTTACTGACATTTTTGTCTATTAACCAGGTGACTCGCGGTGGTACGAACACAGTAGTAGTCCCGAACAGCATGTGCCCGCAGCCGCCCCCGCCGGACCGCCAGTACTGCAACGTGCTGGACTGCCCCGTCCGGTGGCACACCGGCGACTGGTCCAAATGCTCCAAGACATGCGGCGGAGGGTTAAAGCAGAGAGATGTAAGTGACGTGGACAATTAGATCTTAATGAGTACCTAACATTTTGAGTTTATTTTATGGCTTGTTTGATTATTTGAATGGCTCATTGAATCATGTAAAAATTACTTTGTATGAAACTAAAGATACCTATGCTATGAAACGCGTGGATTTGATTCCCGCACGGAAGAATTGTTTGTGTGATCTGCAAATACATTGTTGTTCCTGGTGCGCGCTTGCACACCGGTGCATACGAAATTATAATATGCTTAAAGCCCCATCACAGATGCCTCATACACAGGAGAAAATACATATTAGTATTTATATATGTATGTGTTTTCCTGTACTGTCTGTGTGTTGTGCATAAATAGATAAATAAAAAAAATAAAAAATTAGTAGCAGACCACGTCTTTTAATGCTAACTCGTATTTACTCGATGTGAGTACCAATTTGTATTCTAAAATTCAATGTCATTAAAACTTCTCTCTAAACCCAGGTGGAGTGTAAACAAATAATGGCCCAGTCGCACGTGGTGGAACGTCCAGCGTCACTCTGCAGCTCCCCACGCCCAGCTGCCACCAAGTCCTGCAACTCCAGACCCTGTCTCCTGGACACTGCATCCCCAGAGATATCGCTCGCCAATTCCTCTTACATACAGCATGATCCTAAGAAAAAGAAGGTAAGACTATTTGTGGCCGTAAAAAGGTTTAATTCACACAAGTAAAAAAAAAATTTCCCGCACGGAACAACTCTTTGTGTGATCCACAGATTGTTGTTCCGGGTCTGGGTGTCATGTGTATGTGAACTTGTATATTTGAAAACGTACCCACGACACAGGAGAAAAAATTAGTGTGGGGTAACGTCTTTAAAAAAACCCTCTTCATTTTTTCTATAAAATTTCCATTTATGAAAAAGGATTAGGCAGTATCAGTAACAACAAAATTAACAAATTATAAGCAACTCCACACCACCTTACGAAAATGCCCCTATCCCTTCAAAGATAATAACACCAAAATCGTTAGGTAATTTTTTTTTTCTTTTAAAAAAAACGTTGCCCCACTCTAGGATTTTCTCCTGTGTCGTGGGTGCGTTTACAAACATACAAGTTCACATACACAAAGACACCCAGACCCGAAACAACAATTTGTGGAGCACACAAAGTGTTGTCCCGTGCGAGAATCGTACCCGCGACACGTTGCACGGCAGCCGGTTGCCCAGCCACCGCACCAACCGTGCAGTTAATATTAGAACAACCACTATATCTCACAGTAAAACATCTAGCAATACTCCAACAGACTTCATAATAATACAAACTATTGTGATACCCAGGTAACAGTAAAGGTGGGTGGATCGGCGACAATATTCTACGGAACACAAGTCAAGATCAAATGTCCAGTCAAAGGGTACAATAGGACCAAGATACAGTGGGCCAAGGACCATCAGATCATTAGCAAGTCGAAGAAATATAAGATTTCTAGAAAGGTATGTACATTACATTACATAACATCATGCCTTTTATCCCCGAAGGTGTGTACATTATACCACTGTACAATGTAACACCCACTTTTCACTATTTATGTTATGAGTCCCATGTCATAGGGGGTGAGCCTATTGCCATATACCGGACACAATTCAAGGCTCCGTGCTACTACTGAGAATTTTTAAAAACCCAGTAATACTTTGCCCGATCCGGGAATCGAACCCGAGACGCCTTGCCGAGTCGCACTTGCGACCACTCGGCCAACGAGGCAGCTAAAGGTATGTGTATGTGTGGGTATTTGTTAGTATAATTATGTGATTGTAAGTCAGTGTTGAGAAATTAAATCTCTATTTCATTTAGAGTAGAGTATTAAATTGTGAAATTTTGTAAATTCGTTATGACTAATATTGATAGTATCCAGTTAATTTATACATATTTTTAAACTAACTGAATTCGTGACTTCGTCAGCGTTTTACTATAATAAAACTAGCCTATGTTACTCCTTAATACATTAGCTACATGCCAATAAAAGTCCCGTCAAAATCCGTTTAGCCATATCCGTCTAGTCATCTATATATATATGAGAAAGTCGTGTTAGTTACACCATTTATAACTCAAGAACGGCAGAATAGATTTGGCTGAAAATTGGTAGGGAGGTAGCTTACAGCCAGGAGACCGACATAGGACTTTTTGACCAAAATTTTTTTTACTTTTTACCGAAAATCACGAACGGGGACGAGAAAAAATGGGATTACGCGTACGAAGTCGCGGGCAGAAGCTAGTTTCAGATAATAACCAGTAGGTACAAACATATAGACAGGCAGATAAAAATTGTAAAAAAGTGTAAAGAAGTCGGAAGTAAAAAACGTCGCCGCCCCGTAGAAAGAGAGGGGGATACTCCCTGTCCTACGCTACGTCAGCTGTCTACTCTCCATCCGTCTTACGAATTTTCGATCAGGTTACGTGTCCTGAAAGTGTACAACGCCGCTAAAGAAGTTTTACTTCAAAAACCCTCATAAAATACAGCACCAAATACCTACATGTTTATTTAACTTTGTGTTTTTCTACCCAGGGTGCTCTTCGAATTAACTCTCTTTCGCTCCGTGACCATGGAGTATACACCTGCGTAGCTGGCAGGTCCAGTGCCAACCTGACGCTGCTGGTGAAGCCAAGACCTGGAGAGTTTCCATCCAGCGAGGAGATCGAGAGGCACAAGGCGTTGGATGAACCATCGTCTCCATTATCTGATAGGTAAGGTTTAGGAGATAATGGTTTAAATACACATAACTTCACGCCCCATATCCCCGAAAGGATAGGCAGAGGTGCACATTACGGCACTTAATTCCACTGTACAATGTAACACCCACTTTTCACTATTTATGTTATGAGTCCCATGTAATAGGGGGTGAGCCTATTGCCATCGGGCACATTTCCAGACTTTGGAAATGAAATCGCTTCTCTCTGTACGTAGTATACGCAAGATCTATCCTACTAATATTAAATTTTTTAAAGTAAGGACATACAGTAGACTGTATATGCAGGTTCTCCTAAAATATACTTTGTTTAATACGTCTCCACTTCACACAAAATTAGTTTCTATCCCATCAAAAGTTGGTACAATTTGCATTTTCGAATAACAACAGCAGGGCGGACGGGCGCTACCGAGCTATGATCGGAGGCACCTCGGATGACCAGTCACATGAACAACGGCCGGGGGACTCCAGGAAGAATTATAAGAATAGACAGAAAGGTAAGTTTACTATATCCACATGATATTAAAACTTCTGAATTTTCCAGTTTTACAGATTCACTAGTCATAGACGTCAAGTATTGTACGCAGGGGCGACGCTAAGCTGTCTAACTTAGATCAATCTCGATTTAAAAATCCCCGAGTCGAAAATAATAAAGTTCCTATTGCGATTTTATTTTGAAAATTATGAGTAACGGCAAGGAATCAAAAGGTCAAGTCACTAAGCAATCCCGAGCGTACGGCGCGTCTCAAAGAGCCATCAGACCACCATAGATGAGGCCCAATAGGGCTGATGCCGATACGGAGCCACGGAGGACTTAACGAGTTGCCGGGGCTTCGGTTCGAAGTGCAGGAGTAGGAACAGGGTGGTTTTTAGTCTGTAATAGTTTGACACTCCCTACCGTCTCACTTAAGTTGGGAGAAGTCATTGGACGATGTGCCCCTCAAAAAAAAAGAAGTCACTACGCATTCAAGCAAAAATACAATATTTTTCGCTAAAACACTACAGAATTTGAAATAAATTACGAATGTTGCGGCAAATTAATGAAGATCCGACTGTTGGTAGACGAGTGCACTGCAAACACTAGATAAATTTCAAAATTTTCCCTCTTAATTTCTTCGTCAGTACACTTTGGATTTTTGAAGCTCCTTCGTTTTAAAATTGTCTATTTATTTCTTAATTCATGACTTGTTAATTTGGGTGCAAAACGTTTTTAATTTTCCTCCTAACTGTGTTTAGCGAATTTTTTGTAAATGACTCTGTTTGTACTAAATCTGATTGCTATTTTAGGGAACAGAGAGTATAGTTCCCTAAGATCGGAAAAGGAGGATCCTCCGACCAGGCGAGGTGATCGCGCCTGGTGGGCTTTCTGTCCAACAGTTGCTCGTTGGGAATTTCTATCCGTGTTAAATCGAATGTAAACTTCGCATGTGCGATGTAGGATTTTATGACGTCATCCGTTGACTTGTGACATGTGTCGCCACACTATTTTCAATCGGCGATACATTTCTACTAAATATGGTTTTTTAATGACATAAGCCGGTAAACGAGCAGACGGATCACCTGATGGTAAGCAATCGGCGTCGCCCATGGACACCTAAAACACCAGAGGCGTTACAAGTGCGTTACCGGCTTTTTGGGGATTAGGAGTTTGAGGATCGTTGAAATTCAGGGTTAGGGGAGGTTGGGAAAGGGGAGAGTAATTGGGCCTCAGGGAACCTCACTCACACGACGAAACACAACGCAAGCGTTGTTTCACGTCGGTTTTCTGCTCAGCCGTGGTATCACTCCCGTCGAGCCGGCCCATTCGTGCCGAAGCATGGCAAGCACACTTAAAAAACTGACATCGCTTTCGCTTAAAGTAAGCGGTGCATAGTCATAGAAGTCACGATACTATGATTATGCAGTACCTAAATTGTGTTTATCTAAGTAATTATACATCGTACCTAAAATAAATTTGTTTTCCAGGACATACATCTACCGAAAGTCAAAAAAGCAATAAGATTACTCATTATGATTCTATTGTACTTCATTTTCTTTATACAACACATAATAATTTACATTTATTCCATAGGAAAAATAGACAAAGTCCGCGACGCTCTGTACGGGAACACAGCAACAACAAGTACGAAAGCATCGCCCAGCTTCAATTCTCAAGAACGAGAGCGAGATATGTATGATGAACATGAGGTAAGGACATTATTGTATATTTCTAAAACATAAATTAAATGTTATGTTATTGTATAATTCATGTACTGTAATTGTGTGTTGATAAATCGTCTGAAATCTTTGTAATTCGGTAAATATTTAGGCCTGATTTAAACACCGTATACTTTCTGAGTTATGAAGATTCTATCAAAATATTCGATTAATATCGCCTATATATCGTATATTATTGAATAATATCGCCTATAAACATGACAGAATACATTAAATTATAAATTTAATTAACCAGTATTGCCCAGTAATGAAAAACTTCATCCTATTTTGAAGTTGCATAAAAAATTTACAAATAATTAGTTGAGGATTTATAAATCTGGTAGAAAAATATTCACTGTAAAGATTACACAACAAAGTTCAAAATTGAATATGCATGGTTATCTAAAAAGCAAACCAAAAACTAACATTCAACAATTAGAAAACAATACCAAAGTATGATAAGTACACATTCCCTGTACACTCGAAAATTAACCAAAGCCACTAGGTCATAAAAAATACTTTCCTTCCATTAAAGATCATGTAGACCACGCCTAACTACACATAGCCCAAAACCCACTAATTTATAATCAGGAACCGATCACGCAGCACTTATACTCAGCAGGATAATGACAGTAATAAAATTTACAACCGATTTTATGTCGGACGTAAAATGGCTACATCTAGATGATGTTGTTGCAAAGACTCACTTATCGTGCGCATAAAGGAGAATGGCAGGTTTGTATGGAAGTTTTGTACCGCTATAAAATTTTGTATTAGTCATTGTTTTAACCAAGTGAATAGTCTGAACGATAGATATTTTTATTATGAAGTTTAGAAAAAAATTACATATTTTTAGAACTTGGGGTTCAAAAGTTATTTCACTTTGAAAATGTGCAAAAGGTATGTTAAGGTGGTACCACACTTGACATTGCGTAGTCGCTTCATTTGTCCAAATATTTGTAGACTTCGTACAAATGGCGTCCAAATAGTATCTCTATATGTAATGGCGTGCAAATATATAGCAAACAAAGAAGAATAAATCCTCCAAACATGTTCTTTTTTGGCCGAACACAACAAATACGCAACGTCAAGTGTAGAGCCACCGTAAGCAAAATATCTATTACAAATGACAGATGACAGTTAACTGAAAAATGTCAATGTGCTCTCATGTGGTTGTTTATTTACAAAAAACAAAAATCTAAAAATACTGCTCGCTACTCAAGTGACTATTACACTTTGTATTATTAGAAAGAAAGAAAGAAAGAAAAACCATTTATTTTGCTACGACACACAACAAGAATTTAGAAACCCAAAAAATAACCTATGGTGCGTCGCAGCGCAAAAGGCAATTAGGAATGATCCTGTTAATTCAGCAAGCATGATGCACCTATAGAGTTTTAAAGAGTATGCCTCACAATCTTTTTCATTTCTTAGGTGCCTACGAAAATGCAAATTCATAATGTAAGCGACTGTCATTGGGTAGAAGGCCTACATTTAGCAGTGGAAGTCTTGTGGCGGATATGATAAAACTAATGTCTCACTTCACCTTGAATCTTGCAGATAGTCTCAAGGGTCTCAAGTTAATTCGATTTAAACTTAGCTTAGCTCTTTGAGAAAGTATTTCTTCTGAAAACTGGTTGCTTAGCACGCATGTAAGGATTAATTTCTAATAAGTAAGTCAAATTAGTAGAATCATCAACATTTTCATCATTAAGTCTATAAGTGGCCACTGCTGACCGAAGCCTCTTCTCGCATGGAGGTTTGAGCATTAATCACCATACTAGCTCAATGTGGGTTGGTAATTCAAACTTATAATAAGAAATTATAAGCCCATGTTTCCTCACAATGTTTTCCTTCACCATTCGTCAGCGGTGTCTTTGTACTTTCTTAGATTATTGAATATACCAATAACTCGGAAAAAAGACACATTGGACAAAAGGTACTTTGCCGTTGGTAGGTTTCGAACCCGCACTCTCATGCATGAGAAGCGGGCTTCTTAAACCTCTGGGCCACCACATTACAACTAAAGAAAATGTAAAATGAAAATGAACATTTTTGGTATAAAACTAAAGCTATCTAAATTAAATATGGCATTTATTTTATAGATTGATTCTTAAAATCACTTTTATCAAGATGGAATATATAGTTACTTACTAGGTTAAAATAAAACAAATGTATTATTTTGAAATACTTTTATTTCATTGTATTCAGGTTGTTTCTAGGAGTACTTCATCTAAAAAGAGAACAGGCCGTGTCATAGGTACAGCAGACATCAATTGCTGATATCTGTAAACAAGTAAGATAACTGTAAATAAAGTAAACAAAAGTACATTTTTTTCCTTTAGTTTTATATGTTATAATAATAAGTCTGATTCCCTATCTTAAAATGGAAAAGATAAAAATAAATATTTGATTACATTACTTCATTTTATAACATTTATTATAGTTATTCGTATAACACAGATCATAGGAGCTCAAACAGCATGCTAATTAATAAATTATAATTATAACATGAGTATAAACCTATTAGAAACCGCTTATATACTCCACATAGATACATAATTATGTAGGTACATTATATTGAGAATGCATACCTGTTGAAGCTTTGAGAGCCGAACAACATCATCCGGCCTCATCTGTTCTACAAATGGCAATGTTAAAGTGAGGCTTAGTCCATGTTTACATAATACATTACTTCCTGATAGTGAACACTGTGAGGTGGTATGTCAGGTTGTGGTTTTATAGTTTCGACTCTTGTACGGTCTCTCAGTCAGTATGGAACATGATCTTCATCATGGGAAGTAAGCTAAAATAAGTAATATTATTAGAATATGATATTGACTTTAGATTACACTGTATATAGATAATAGTATGGTTAAATTATGCTTTATTACCTCTTGTGGCTGAATCCAATCAAATACTATATGAGCCAGTCTTTACTCCTGTTTGTTGGCGCCTTCAATTAAAACCCTGCGTCACCTTATCATTGCAATGAATCACCCATATACGACACAAACATGCCAGTGACCAATTTGTTTGCTGGACATACTTTCAGCAACATCCCGATACATTGCTAATTGCCAGCAAGCATTGCAAATATGGTCGGTAGGAGAGATCTAGAATAAAAAGAATAAAATGATACATTATGGGTAGATAACACTATGCGCCTTCTTTTATTCAGGCAACATGGTGACTTTCGATATGTTATGGGTAAACTAGGTACTTACATCTCTAGGATAAGTCCACATTGGGATATTGTTGACCACGTCTAATCTTCACTCTCATTTTCTAGAGCATGCCGTCTCATGTGCGACAAACTCTGAATGCAATTAATACACTGTAAATTCATCATCGCGACAAATAACAACACACTGCACAAAACAATGTAAATAAGTGTCTTTTCGCAATTGTCACAACAATGATCCAATAATACCAATTTGGGCTACGGAGGAACGGTTGCCAAACTCAACGTATCACCAGATGAATAAAATAACTTCAAATTCAACAAACACATCATAACATCGCATTTGAAACAAACAGCAATGCGCCAGTATTGACAAATTAATTGTCAATGTCATCAAGACAAATGCCAGTTCAACATTGCCATAATATTCAAGTTTGTTAAAATGTTAATTATCATTAATAATCCATGTAAACGTAGATTTAGATTGGATGTAGATTTTTATATTTACTTATAAAAATGTTTGAAATGGAAAGGAAAATATTTCATTGATAGATATTAAAATAAATGAGTTTATGAAATAGCGAAATTCAATATGCTCTGATTTCATCTTTACGCATGGCAACTTTGTAAACGTCAATCGCGGTTCGTTTTACGTATAGTGGATTGCTTTTTATCATTATTGAATATCAGTTTTTCTAGGGTTTCCCAAGTTTTAAAAATCTATTAAATATGCTTACATAACGTACTTAGGAGGTTCTATAATGACTAAGGCTTCCAGTCTCGATACATTTTCGAGTCCCGGGAAAAAAAAATCGAGACTGGGTCCGGTCCCGGGAGTCCCGGGAAAAACGAGACTTTCGAGACTAAATAAGTTTCATACTCAAGGTTTATACAATTAGGCAAATAAAACAATATGTTTCAATTATGCACTTTATTAATCAACTATTACAAAAAAAACAAATGTTATATAAAATTAACATTTTTCATTTTTAAAATATGCACGCAGAAAGCAAAGGGCATCAATGACTTTTCAGATAAAGAGGATCTGATTTTGTTACAAAAGTACCCTGCATTTGAAAAAGCTCTCTCTGCTTCGACACTAGTAGGGGGGATGGATAGTAAATAATTATAGCACTGATTTAAATGCTTACCTCTGTCACCACCGTTCTCAAAGAGAGCTTTTTCTACATGCAAAGTCGTTTGCAAGTCATGGGTGCTAGTTTGTGTTTCTATTTTTTGAGGCTTTAGCAAGTTTTCAAGCTCACACGCTAGCTGTTCTTTAGCAGTTAAACAGGTGAGCTCAGCAGTTGCAATATCATTAAAATCATTGGCATTAGAATTCTCTGAATAATTACTGTCAATTGATTTTTCAGTTGTAACTTTATTCAATCTTTCGTATAATTGTTTTAATGATAGTGTAACCTCGTCGTTGTTAAAAGTGTTGAATGCCCTTGGATCTAGCTTATTTTCGAAATATTTGGAAGGATTTGTAGGTATTGCAAAATACTCGCCTCAATTAGCCTGTTTTCCTTAATACGTGTACACAGCGAATTGGCAAGGCTTACGCTTAATGAAGTTTGTAGTGAATTTAATTTTTGGAGGCAGAAATTTAATGCTGTATCTGCTGTTAATAGATTTGCATCTCGCCTACACAACGCTTCTAATGTGACTTTTAAGATATTAAGTGAATCTGAAATTGCCTCGAGTGTACTATATTCTGATTCGGTGAACTCAATTCCAGACCCTATATCAATCAAAGCCTTTCGAACGCATATTTTTAACTTAAGAAAACGTTCAAGCATTTCTG